ATTTGATTTGAAACTGTCTCATTGCTATCTGTTTATCAATAAAACTTTGTAAAAAAAATTAAATTTGCTACCATCTCGGAGATTTCCAAATCAACATAGGCTGAGTTTAAAGATGAAATTAACAGCAATTGAATCTTTCTGCCTCTAACCCACATTACTGGAATTTGCAGAGAAGCAATCAAAAATCAGTTGTTTTTCATGTATGAAATTCATTCTAGAAGGTTTTTTTTTTTTTTTTTTTTTGCGGAACCGGGGCTTGAACTCAGGCCCTTGCGCTTGCCAGGCAAGTGCTTATTCTACTGAGCTATCTCCCCAGCCCCCTTGTTCCAGAAGTTTAATCTCTGATAATCTCTTGTTTTATGGAAGCAAAAAGCTTGAACTAAGGTATAATATAGCAAAGTCTGCTTGTCTAATGCTAATTTTGTTTTTTTGAGACATGGACTCATTATAGAGTCCATGCTGACCTTGAACTCATAATCCTGCTGCCTCGGTCTCAGGAACACTAGATGCAATGTTAAATTTAAGGAAGTTATAATTACATTCTTATTCCTTCAATGCTTCGAAATACTATTAATTAGTAAAAGGTAAAACATTATTTATAGATGCCTAAAATTTCATAGCTCACTCATTCTCCCTCAGGGGAGACTATTGCAAGCTAGGTACCTATACTAGAAGAGTTTGTCACAGAAAAGTCCTCCGTGTTGCTGTAAGAAAAATGACAATTAAAATTCACTACAGATAAAGAGGTATAATACTACTATGGTTTGTAAAATAGTATATAAAATATGCTTGGATTTGTTATACTCATATCCTCTTACAGCTTTATAAGCAAATATATTAGCTCTGAAACATACTAGGAGTTATAAAAATCTCAAAAAGAAAAATTTATTTTCCATCTATAATTATGTACACAAATGTTGAGACATTATCTCAAAATTGCTCCTTCAAATCAAGAAATATGTGTCACATTATAAGGCTAAAAAAGACAAAAGTAAAGACATAAATATATATAGGCTCACTTTGTAAAAAAGAAAGCTTGTATATTCATTTGTAGAGAAAATATATGAAAGAATACATATAGCACTAGTCAATACCTTTTCTACCACATAACATTTTTTACAACAAAAGTGCATTTTCTTTATTGAAGTTCTTTTTAAGAAAAAGTGTATTTTAGAATAGTGAATTTAAGGGGGCCGGGGAGATGGCTCAGTAGAATAAGCGCTTCCCTGGCAAACACAAGGGCCTGAGTTCAATACCTGGTTCCACCAAAAAAACAAAAACAAAAAAAAGAATAGTGAATTTGACAATGGTCTTACAAAGGAAAGAAAACAAAAAGTTCTTTCAAGTTTTATTTTTTTCTGTATCTATTATAAAGAAGTACTCTGATACTTGACCTTATAGAAATATATATCAAGTCAGTATGCAGAGTTCACTAACAGTACATATCAATATATTACTAAAAATTTTACTTATGGATCAAGAGAACTACTTCGCATTATGAAATAAACACCAGTAATGAAATTTAAGAAAATTATAAGGGTAAGGTGGAAGAGGAGTAATCAAATGACCAACTTCTAGGCAAAAAACAATATTAAGAATAAAAGATGACCTAGACTCAAACTTACAATTTTAGATTCAGTTCAGAAAAGCACTTACCTATCTAGAGAACCATACATAAACTTTAAGGTTTGGGCAGTATCTTGTATCATATTCCTTAGTTGAGGAAGAGGAACTCTAAGAAAAAGAAAGAACACATACATTTATTTATAATGTAAGGAAGAAACTGAAAAGTTATATATTTTGTACGTGAGGTATATGTCAACTATGAATAAAACTGTGAAAAAAGGTTCTATATAGTAATTGATGGCCTTGAGTTCTAGATTTAGGCTTCAAGCATTAGTCAAATATAGATGTTCAATGTCCCAAGTTTTATGTAAATAAACCCTCAAATTTAGATTCTTCATTGTTAAGATTGAGCCTGCAATCACTAAGCCTGCCTCAGATTGATTTTGAGGATTCAATGAAATTAATTTCACTAATTAATGTAGTTAGAGCAGTATCTGACACTATGCCCATGCTAAATTCTCCCCCCCATGCTAAAATCTTGATACTTTTCAGTATTATTGGAGCCTCCAATTCCTTTGGCAAAACATACTAAGAAAGGAAAGAAAGTACAGAAAAAAAAAATTTACATTTTCATAGTGAAGGCTTACATGAATTCTACAAGGATGGTCTTATTTCCATTTATTGGTAGCTCTAAGTCCAAGAAATTAGTGAGCTGTGAAGGTCACAAAGGGAGGTTACTGGGGAGCATTCATCCTCTTAGCTCCAGTGTTTTTACTAGTTCACACTGTCTTCTGAAGTAGCTTCCCGCTGTTTGTTCGCTACATCACAGAAGGATAATTTTCCCATCTGAAAACATGACCCTGAGTTATGTACCCCACACTAATTTCTACAGCTTGGCACTCTTCACTTTGCTGCTTCTCTCACTATTATGAGGTGAGAAGGGACGAGCACTAGCTGTGCCATTAAGATTGATGGAAAACTTTCCAGGGAAGCCCATGCAAATACAAATCACAGGCACAATGGCGAGGATACAGAGACACATAAACTGACACTGGTGAGGTGATTGATCATAATCTCTCAGTTCTCTTTCTCAGTCTTAACAAATGACAGTAACAATAATACATCTTATGTAAGACAAGATGAGTAAGGAAAAGATGCTGGTACAGAGTGACTGGCATGAGCTGTAAGAGAAGGGTAAGGAGGGCCTTTTTTTTTTTTTAAAAAAAACTTGAAGATCATTTTAGAAAACAGATCTTCAAGTTAATTCTAACTCATCAAGCCTAGTTTTCTAGGGTAAGAATAGTACAAATACTTAGGGAAGATGACTTACCTGTTTAAAGACCGAGAACTTGCCTAGGGCATCTCCCTTATAAGCTCAGTAGTGAAGTCTAGTGTAGGTCCAAACACCATATTTTCATATTAAAAACTATGAACCCCACATTTATATTGTATCTTTTTCTGTCAAAAATTACAGTCACCTTCAGAACATAACCATTTGTTAGTTTTCACTATAGTCACCTTTGGAATTCCTGTTTGTGATGGTAAGACATACTCTAAAATTCTTTGACATTCCTTTCCTCAGTAAGTGGTGCTTAATTCCTCCCCTTGAGTGTAGTCTGGAATCAGTAACTCACTTCTAACAATATATAGAGAAATGACAGTAGCAGTTCTCAGGTTAAGCCATAAAGTCCTGCAGCTTCCCCTTTATCTCTCTTTTAGATCACTTCGTTTGGGAGAAGCCAAATGATTTTGTTTGAGGACAATGAAACAGCTCCATGGAGAAGTAAGGCCAGGTAATGAGATCTCCTGACACTGATTTTTTTTTTTTTAAAACGTATCAGGTATTTAATTAGGTTCTTAGTAAGAAATTTAGAACACTAATTTATGAGGGTAAATTCCATTTGTCAGAGCAAAAACGGATCGCAGGTA